CTGATTCCTGACAAAGGAATCTGAGGCTGAGCCCTGGTATCCAGGTGTCCTGGCCTCCAGCCAGGTTTTCCAGTCACTTCTAGGTCTCAACCCCAGCTGGGCTGGGCTGAGAGCCTTGGTGTCCTGGGATGAAGAGCCACAGGTCCCTCCTGGCTCTCCATCCTATACCTGCTGCACCTTCCTTTCTCCCTGCTGGAGCTGCCCCATTCCCATCCTCCTGCAGCCTGCCAGTACCTCACCTTCAAGGGCCACTTCACATCTCTAGGTCTTTCTTTTTGAAGAGACAGGTTCTCACTATGTTTCCCAGCCTGGTCTCGAACGCTTGGACTCAAGCCATCCTTCTGCCTCAACCTCCCAAAGTGTTGGGATTGCGGGTGTGAGCCACCACACTGCCTACCCTAGGCCTTTCTTCTCAACACCAGGAAGGAGCTGGACAATCCTTGGGGAAATCACTCCTCGAGGACCCTTTGCTGCACCCTATTCTGCCCTAATTGTTTCACAAGCCAGTCTGGCCTCTCTGGCTATCATACCAGTCCCAGGGGGCCAGAACTCTGTTATCTCCTCGTTTATTTCCCATACATAGCACCGAGCATAAGGCTGAGTACACACAGAAGGAAAATGAATGAATGAATGAACCAATGAATGAGTGAATGAATGAATGAATGAATGAATAGATCTGACAGGGAATGAGCCCCAGTTTTCTCTACCTACCACCCTGCACACTCACCAGGGCCTCTGAGCCAGTGTCAGGACTGTGAGGGATGGTCTCTTATCTGAATTTAACTAGGCCAGTGACTCCAGACATCAGTCAGCCACAGTGACGCTGTCATTCCGTTTGTCCGTCAGAGACCGTATGTGAACGCTTTCGGCCCAAGAAAGGTAGAGGGTACTCAAATCTCTACAGAGTGATATTGAATGAGAACTGGAAGAAAAAGACACAAAAAAGGTGGGGTGGAGTAGAAACAAGAGAGGTGGGGGCGGGGAGGCACAGGGAAGAGGATGGGAGTGAGGGAGAAAGGGACACAAAGAGAGAGCGATTCTTGCCTTGCACATCTCCAGTCTGACGTGGCTGTGCCGATATCCCCAGCACTAATTGCTTCAATTAATAATACGCCTCTATAAAATTTCAGCAGCCGAGAGCAAGTGCAAGGAAAGATGACATAATGCATTAATAATGCAGGCAGGCGATCGGGTTGGGCTCCTGGGAGCTCCATTAAGGAGCGGCTGCTGCAGTGTAATGCCAGCTAACACTCCAGCAGGGCAGCGTGTGTCCTTGGGCCTCTGCAGACCACAGGCTGTGGAGCTGCGGGAGCAGAGATGGTGCCAATGGACAGGAGGCTGGGGAAGGCTTTAACCTTCTCATAAACTCCAGAAAGCACCCCTCCAATTCTTTGATCTGGACAATTGATGTTTTCTCAATCTTACGTAAGTGCTGTGCAGTTTCAAAATTGCTGCCCCTTATCCCTCCGACTGCTCTTCCCGGATGCAGCTCATATTATCAGACCCTCTGGCTCGTCTCTCTGACTGTTTTGCTGTTGTTTTAAAAAATCTTCAATCCATTCTTTCTCTCTATATCTACACCTCCATCTTTTTATCTCTTCATCTGTCTGTTCCTGGATTCTTAAGAGCTCTTAAGGAGGCAAGCCTCTTTTTCAGGACAAAGATTCTGTATCTAAAACACGTTGAGCTGGTTTCTCTCAAGTCAGCATCACCATCACCAAAGGCACGTGCACACAGTCCATCCTCCAAACAGTATGTAGACCTGGGGCTGAGTGTGGAGCCTGGAACAAAGGGGTCAGCAGCAGGCATCCTGATCCTGAAGCTGAAACTCACTAAGTGATATTGAACTGATGCAAGGCCAGTTCCTTTCCTATTTCCTGCAGAAACCAGACCTGGATCGTCCCAAACAAATCCCCTAATTCAGGGCTTCTCATTCCATAGTCTAAGGAGATGCTTCAGAGTATCCCAGAAACCCTGGAAATGACATGACACTCTTTGTACATATGTGCATTTCTCTGACAAGAGGGTCCACAGTATCCTCGGATCTCTAAGGAGCCTGTGATGGCCCTGAGGATGTGGAAGTATGATTCTAGTCCTCTTGGACAGCCAGGCACTTAGACAAAACCTTACATGACCGAGGCATTAGATGGACACTTCCGTTCATCTCTGCATCCATGGCTCCATGTTTCATCCATGGTCTTCCTGTTTCTCACTTGATTTCCTCAAAGGTTTTGTCAAAAGAGGTCAAGGGCTAGAAATAAAGATGAGAAGAGGCCCAACATTCACCTAAGACTCAAGTTAAAATGAAAACTGGGGCATGTGGTGGCTCATGCCTATAATACCAGCACTTTGGGAGGCTGAAGCAGGTGGATCACCTGAGGTCAGGAGTTCAAGACCAGCCTGATCAACATGGAGAAACCTGTCTTTACTAAAAATACAAAAAATTAGCCGGGCATGGTGGTAGGTGCCTGTAATCCCAGCTACTCGGGGGATTGAGGCAGAAGAATCGCTTGAACCCAGAAGGCAGAGGTTGCAGTGAGCCGAGATCACACTATTGCACTCCAGCCTGGGTGACAAGTGCAAAACTCCAACTGAAAAACAAACAAACAAACAAAAATTAGCTGAGCATCGTGCCTGCTAGATGCTTGTGGTCCCAGCTACTCCGGAGGCTAAGGTGGGAGGATTGCTTGAGTCTGGGTGGTTGAAGCTGCAGTGAGCTGTGACGGTGCCACTGCACCCCAGCGTGGATGATAGAGTGAGATCCTGTATCAAAAAACAAAAACCAAAAAAACCCAGAGCAAAGGAAAACTCATGTTTCAAGTCTTGGCATCCAAGTACATGCTGGTGCCTCTATTTTGCAGTAGAAATGAAGTTTGTGTTGGCAACTCAACGCGTTCTCTAGAACAGCCTTCCTTTCCAAGGAAGGACGATTGGAAATAAACGTGTTAGGCACCTTCAATATGCAAGTTTCTGTCCCAAACAGTCTGATGTGATCCTGAGCACATTCCAGGGAGACCAGACCCTCCAGTTCTTCTTCATTGAGGAGAAACCTGAAATTCCCAAAGGTTAAGAAACTTGAGTGGCAAAGCCAAGATGTGAGTGCAGGTCTTTTTGCCACCAGTCCATCTCTTTCCATTACCCAACATTTGCCTGCATTTAAACAGTAGCTCTTAGGGGCATTTTTCGGGGGAGCAAACCTGGCTAATCCCCACCTCCAGGTTCCTATTTCTCATTGCCTCTTCTCCACCTGGCCAAGTGCTACGCTTCTTTTAAGACTTACATTCTACTTCATTCCTCAAGACTTTTCTAGATGATTTCAGCACAGAGTGATCTCTCAGTTTAGGATGAATGATGTGGGTAGATATTAGATATACAAAGGGGAGGGCTGCAGAGGACACTTGATTTTCACTCAACATCTAGTTTCCCCTTGATTCTTGTCAAACAGATCCTGATTTCTGATTCCTTTGTAACTAAGTAGGCGCTGACTCCATCCCAGTTCTAGGAGTGGAAGGAGCTTGGTCTCAATCGGTTGGAGAAATGTTACCAGTTGTCAGGCTGGGAACGGTCTTATAATCAAATTCTGGCCAGTGGGAAGAGACCGTCTTTCCTTCTTCGGTGGGATGGTTCCATGTCTAGAACTGCTGTGGACTTCCTGCCACCCAGCTTGGGAGTGAAGCCCACATGAGGATGGTGGAGCAGCAGGGAAGGGAGTCCTTAAGTTGCCATATCAAGCACCTCTGGCCTGCCCTTCCTCTGAACTCTGCCATGAGAGCTGATACATTTCCTTGCAGCTAATTCCAGTTTGAGTTCAGGGTTTTTTGTTACTTGCTGACAAAATCATCACAGCTGCTACTACACTCCCTCCTTTAATGCACAGTGTTTGGTGCTGTTCTTCCTGACACCTACCACCTTGTCAACTCTACCATATTGTTGCCATGTTGTTATTGAACTTTTCCTATGTCCACATCTTGTCTATGAAGTTGACGTCAGCTCTTCCAGCCCACAGGAATGTTTTCTGAATTCTCACAGAGCTCCCAAATAGCGGTCAAATCTGTCATCCATTCTTTCCAGAAATATTTCTTGAGCCCTACTATGTGCAGGAACTGGGGAGATGCAGTGAGGAAGGCAGACACGATCCAACAGCTATGGAGTTCGGAGTCCTCATGAGGAACTCAGATGTTAATCAAATGACCTCAGGAATAAGTCTAGAATGAATGATGACTGGGAAGAGTTAAGAATGCAGGTATCCAGAGCTATGCTAAGGCACAGTACAAAAACCTGCACTGGCTAGGGGATCAGGGAAAGTATCCCAGAGAAACAGATCTGAAGGATGTGTGAGAGGGGACTGGGTGAAAAAACAGGGAAAATGCTTTCTAGGCGGTAAAAGAGTATGTCATCTCTTCATCCCGGCGGCCACTGCCCCCATCACTTTTGACCAGACCGTTCTTGTTGCCTTCTAACTGGCCACCCTGCTTTCAGTTTCGTCACCCTCAAGTCCATCCTCATCGCAGCCATGAGACTTATTTATGAAAACCCTCCGGTGGTGCCCAACTTCTACTAAGAGAAAGTCAATTTTCTCTTCCTTCCTTCCTTCCTTTCTTCCTTCCTTCCTTTTTCTTCCCTCCTTCCTTCTCTTTCGCTCTTTCTTTCTGTCTCTCTCTCTCTCTCTTCTTTTCTTTTTTGACACAGGATCTCACTCCATCACCCAGGCTGGAGAGGAGTGGCCCAATCTCAGTTCACCTAAACCTCTGCCTTCTGGGTTCTAGCGATTCTCCCACCTCAGGCTCCCGAGTAGCTGGGATTACAGGCACATCTCCCTATTTCCCATCTACTTTTTGTATTTTTAGTAGAGACAGGGCTTTGCCATGTTGGCCAGGCTGGTCTCAAACTCCTGGCCTCAAGTGATCTACCTGGTTCAGCCTCCCTGAGTGCTGGGATTTCAGGCGTGAGCCACTGCACTTTACCAAAGTCAATTTTCTTTCTTTCTTCATTTTTTATTTTTAAATATGGAATGCTTCATGAATTTGCGTATCATCCTTGCGCATGGGGCCATGCTAATCTCTGTAACGTTCCAATTTTAGCATATGTGCTGCCGAAGCAAGCACCAAAGTCAATTTTCCTAACAAGTCTTTTCATGATCCCATCTCTAGTCACCTCTCTAACCTTATTTTCTGCCTCTCCCTGCCTCTGAGAACTCCCTACCTGTAATTCTCAACCACAACCAGGCCATCCAACCTTTTCCTCATGTCCTCTCTGCCTAGAACTTTCTCCCAGGTTTGCTTGGCACGGCTGCCCTGCTGCAGCTCAGGTGTCATGTCACTTGGATTGGCCTCAGTGGCCCTCCTCTGTGCTGCCACCACAGCTTGCGCATATCAAAACTGTCTGTTTGTGGGTGTCTCTCCAATTAGAATGGAGCGTTTCCAGTGTAGGGACCATGTCTCACATATCTTTACCCCTTAGTAAACTCAGCACGGCCAGGTACACAGTATGCTCTCAGGAGCCATTCATTAAACTATATTTCAGCACCTACTGTCTTGCCACAGAATCTAGCACAGCTCATGTTCCATTCGACTGTATTGTATTTCATTGGCCCTTTCGTGTGTGCTACCGCTGACTGCGCAGGTAGATCTCAAGTTCCTGGAGGCCAAATGGCATCTTACATTTCTCAGTAGTCCTCAGAGAATTCAACATTGGTCCCTAAATAAGCATTCGACAAATGCTAAATTAATAAAGATTTCAGGCTGGGCGCAGTGGGAGGCTGAGGTGGGTGGAAGACTTGAGGTCAGGAGTTTGAGACCAGCCTGTCCAACATGGTGAAACCCCATCTCTACTAAAAATAAAAAAAAATTTTTTTTTAAAGTGAGCGGAATGTGGTGATGTGCACCTGTAATCCTAGCTACTTGGGAGACTGAGGCATGAGAATCACTTGAACCCAGGAGGGGGAGATTGCAGTGAGCCTAGATCGCACCATTGCAGTCCAGCCTGGGTGACAGAGTAAGACTCCATCTAAAAAAAATATTAATAGAGATTTGAAAGCATACAAGGATGGATGGAGTTAAATAAATAGTTAAACATATTCCTTCTCCCTCTCTAGCAGGGAAATTACAAATGAGTCCTCTTACTGCCAAGATTCTTGCAGGCAGACCTTGGGAGAAAAGGCATCCTAGAAAAGTGAATATCCACAGGGAGAGGGGGTCACTGAGCCATCCCCCTCCTCTCCCCATTAGTGTCCGGACACCTTTGCTGCTCAAGCTGCCCTCATCCTCCTGGCTGCCAGAGGAGGGATCCTGCAGGCTCCTAGAATATGTGGTCCTGAGCTTTCAGAAGGAGCCCACCATTCCCTCCTCCCTGACTGCACTGCAGGCAGCTAAGTAACCCTTGTGTATTAAGGCCCAGGAGCTCTGGCCCTTCTCTTCTCCTGCTGTGATGGCTCCCTCGGCCCAGGAGACCAGATGTGCTCCTGCTAGTGGTCTGGAATTATTCTTTCCTGTCGACCCAGGCTCCCGGGAGATCTTGAGAGAGGCAGAAGTCTGGAGAGATAATGCAGGCTGCTTACTCACTTCTGGGGTCTAAACTCTGGAAACACTGAGCAGGCTTGGGCCTGAGGCAGTCCAGATGACAGCCAGCAAAGTTTGCTGAGGGTTTGCTGAGTGGGCTGAGTTATATCCCAGACGCTGGGAGGCAGGCAGGGAAGAGGAGCTGAGGAAGGGACCAGTAAGTCCTCTGTGAGGTGTCCCCTTAAAAATCCATCACCCAGGCCCATTTGCAGAGGGGAGCAAGGACTTGCCTGATGCAGAGAGAAGCCCTGGCAGAGGCTGCCCAAGGCCCTGGACTGGCACCTGGTCTTGCCTGGACTTGGATGCTGACCCCTCAGTAAAGTATTGCTTTTTATTTTTCTTATTTTCCAGAAACGGCTAAACAGGAGAGTATTAAACCAAGTGCAAGGCTCATCTAAGCTGAAGCTCACTCACCCATGAAGCCGGCCCTGCAGAGGGGATACATGAGAAAAGCATGAGGAAGTCTACAGTGCAGTGGCTCTCTCCTGTAATCCCAGCACTTTGGGAGGCTGAGGTGGGTGAATTGCTTGAGGCCAGGAGTTCAAGACCCACCTGGGCAACATGGTGAAACCCATCTCTACTAAAAATACAAAAATTAGCTGGGCATGGTGACACACGACTTGTATAGTTCCAGCTACTTGGGAGGCTGAAGCATGAGAATAGCTTGAACCTGGGAGGCAGAGGTTGTAGTGAGCAAAGATCGTGCCACTATACTCCAGCCTAGGTGACAGAGCAAGACTCTGTCTCAGACAAAAAAAAAAAAGAGCGGGGGGCACTGTAATTCAGAAAATCTAGGGCAAGGCAGGGTTTTCCTCAGCACCAGCACCTGCTCTCAAGTTTGCCTCTAACCACATGCCTTAATAAAAGGCAGAAATTTTATCTTTCTAGGGGAGAAAAAGTTATCTTTCTCTCACCCATCACAAGGCTCATGGCTGCTACTCCTATAACAAAAAACAAGCTAATAAAAGAAAAAAAAAAAAACCATCACAACTGTGTTTAACCAAAGTTTTAAATGACACAGGAGCCTTCAGAAATGAATACCCAAAGACCCAGGAAAAGGTATTTGTTTGCTAAGGTTGAAGAATGGACAGTTGTGTAGAAATATGGCTGGACAAAAAGCACATAATCTGATGGTGAATGCTGGGGAGAATCTTAGCGAGGCCTGCTGGTTCAGATTCTTCCCTTATCTCTGTGTCTTTTTTCCTTTCCCCCAGTCATATAGCAGGATACCTGTCACATAAGGGTCTTCAGGGGAGAAGCCAGGGAAGGGAGAGATCCTTTTATGGGCTCAGGGGAGAAAGGCAGGAGAAGGTCAGAGAGTGAACTTCCTACTTGTGCCAAGGTTCCAACTTCTGCAGTATCACGTTTGGAGTCCTGACCCCTTCCTTGGTTCTCCTCCCTGAGACCCAGAGATGTTCACTGCTGACGAGGTGAAAATGAAGGAAGTCTTCCTTTATTGGCCTTGGAATAGAGATTGCCTTCCTTTTTTTTTTTTTTTTTTTTTTTTTTTGGACAGAGTCTTACTCTGTCACCCAGTTTGGAGTGCAATGGCATGATCTCGGCTCACTGCAACTCCCGCTTCCCAGGTTCAAGAGACTCTCCTGCCTCAGCCTCCCAAGTAGCTGGGATTACAGGTGCCTGCCACCTCATCCGACTAATTTTTGTATTTTTAGTAGAGATGGGGTTTCACCATGTTGGCCAGACTGGTCTTGAACTCCTGACCTCAGGTGATCCACCCACCTCAGCCGTCCAAAGTGCTGGGAATACTGGTGAGATTGACTTCCTGTGTGTGGTAGGGAACCAGAATGATCAAGGCCCCAGAACCTAGAGTCTAGGTTGGTGGTCAAAGCCAGGACACCCCAAGGTGGCTGTTTGTCCCAGTGTCACGTTTGGAGTCCTGACCAAATTTAAAAATAAATAAATATTAAAAGATAGAACCTTCTATATTAAAGCATATCTTAATTTTGGTTTAAATCAAGGCATGTAGGCAGTTCTCTTAAAAAATGTAATTCACCTGATACCCAAGAAAGAAATAACACATTCCTTGCTTAGTGGATGACGTTCTACAGGCTCTTTGCCAAATGAGGCTTGAAGGTAGGTAATTCATAGCCAATATGGAGTTTTAAAAAGTATTTGGACAGCAAGACTTTATTTAAATGAAAAACATACTCTAATCTGAATAGAAAAACTCAATGCTGTAAAAGTTGAAGGGTGACAGAATATGCCACCTCAAAATATGCCCCTTTGGCATAAGGGTTATTTTGAGCCAAAGGCAACTGAAAACCAGCAGGTACTGGAAGGGCACTCTGCTCACTCCCTTTAATTTCTGAAAGAAAGAACAAAAGCCCCATATGGAAGATGTCCTCCTTATACCAGAAGGAAAGCAACGCTCTTTTATTATTGTTATTATTATTATTATTTTAAATAAGAAATAGAGATGAGGGTCTCCCTATCATCAGACCAGGCTGGTCTCCATCTCTTGGCCTCCAGTGATCCGCCTACGTTGACCTCCCCAAGTGCTAGGATTACAGGCATGAGAAACCACGCCAGTCAGAAAGCAACAGTCTTATCACCAGGGACAGGGAGAGGAGGCGGAGACGAATCTGTACAAACCGACCCTGGAAACCAACCTTCCTCTTCCCAGTCACTGCTCATGAGCATCTTTCCTAGCCAGGCCCCCTTGCCTTGCCACATTTTTATCATTTATTTTGTGAAACTCTTTGTCCAACTCAGTGTATAAGTGTTTGACTCTAACTGCTTCTTTCGGTCTTCATTTCGTTATGAGGGCTCCCATCTCACGTAAAACTTATTTAAATAACTATGTTTCCTTTCCTCCTGTTAATCTGTTTTATGTTGATTTAATTCTCAGGCCCAGTTAAAAACCCTAAGAGAGTAGAGGTAAAAATTTTGCCTCCCATACAAGGTAAAATATTTTCCCTAAATTAATCTATTAATTTGATGTAGTCTCAGCCAAATGTCAACAGGATTATCTTTGTTTTGAACTTGGCAGAAATGGCATTAAGATTGATTTGGAACCGGCAGCTGTGACTTATGCCTGTAATCCCAGCACTTTGGAAGGCCGAGACAGTTAGATCATTTGAGCCTCGGAATTTGAGACCAGCTTGGGCCACACAGTGAAATCCCATTTCTACAAAAAGTAAAAAATTAGCCAAGTGTGGTGGCACTCACTGGTAGTCTCAGCTACTCAGGAGGCTGAGCTGGAAGGATTATCTGAGCCCGGGAGGTTGAGGCTGCAGTGAGCCATGATCCAGCCCGGGTGCCAAGGCAAGACCCTGTCTCAAGAGAGAAAAAAAAAAAGATTGATTTCAAAAAATAGACGTGGGAGGAGGATTAGGGAAATTTAAAAATAAATAAATATTAAAGGATAGAATCTTCTATATTAAAGCATATTTTAAAGGGCACATAAAGGGGTCCCTGGGACCCTAGGTGGGCCTCATTTCACAGGGGACTTTGGGAGTTGCTGTAAAACTCTGCTCCCACAAGGTTGGACTCACTTAAAAAATCATACCGATTCCTGTTGTCAGTCC